ATTTGCAAACCGAGACATAATTTTGTCTTTCTGAGATCTTTCATCTCGAATTCCTTCTTTAAACATTCTACGGCTTTGGGAAGCTCTTTAGAAGTGCCAATGATATTCAAGTCATCAACATATACAACTATGATGACAAATTCAGATCCAGACCTCTTAATAAAGACACAAAGGCAAATAANGGCAAATAGGGTCATTTTTGTACCCTTGGTTTAGCAAATACTCGCTAAGGCGATTGTACCACATCCTCCCTGATTGCTTCAATCCGTATAAGGATTTCTGAAGTTTTATTGAACAAGTTTCTCTTGAATTTTTATGTGCTTCAGAAACTTTAAATCCTTCAGGGATTTTCATAAAAATCTCATTGTCTAGTGAGCCATATAAGTAGGTTGTGACAACGTCCATCAACCTCATATCAAGTTTTTCATGGACTGCCAAATTTATTAAATACCTGAAGGTAATTGCATCTACCACAGGAGAATATGTCTCCATATAATCAATGACATGCCTTTGCGAAAACCCTTGTGCCACAAGTCATGCTTTATGCCTTATGATTTCACCTTTTTCATTTTGTTTTCGCACAAAAACCCATTTGTACCCCACTGGCTTGACACCTTCAGGTGTTTGGACTATTGGTCCAAAAACTTCATGTTTAAATCCTTCAGGGATTTTCATAAAAATCTCATTGTCTAGTGAGCCATATAAGTAGGTTGTGACAACGTCCATCAACCTCATATCAAGTTTTTCATGGACTGCCAAATTTATTAAATACCTGAAGGTAATTGCATCTACCACAGGAGAATATGTCTCCATATAATCAATGTCATGCCTTTGCGAAAACCCTTGTGCCACAAGTCGTGCTTTATGCCTTATGATTTCACCTTTTTCATTTTGTTTTCGCACAAAAACCCATTTGTACCCCACTGGCTTGACACCTTCAGGTGTTTGGACTATTGGTCCAAAAACTTCATGTTTAAATCCTTCAGGGATTTTCATAAAAATCTCATTGTCTAGTGAGCCATATAAGTAGGTTGTGACAACGTCCATCAACCTCATATCAAGTTTTTCATGGACTGCCAAATTTATTAAATACCTGAAGGTAATTGCATCTACCACAGGAGAATATGTCTCCATATAATCAATGTCATGCCTTTGCGAAAACCCTTGTGCCACAAGTCGTGCTTTATGCCTTATGATTTCACCTTTTTCATTTTGTTTTCGCACAAAAACCCATTTGTACCCCACTGGCTTGACACCTTCAGGTGTTTGGACTATTGGTCCAAAAACTTCATGTTTAAATCCTTCAGGGATTTTCATAAAAATCTCATTGTCTAGTGAGCCATATAAGTAGGTTGTGACAACGTCCATCAACCTCATATCAAGTTTTTCATGGACTGCCAAATTTATTAAATACCTGAAGGTAATTGCATCTACCACAGGAGAATATGTCTCCATATAATCAATGTCATGCCTTTGCGAAAACCCTTGTGCCACAAGTCGTGCTTTATGCCTTATGATTTCACCTTTTTCATTTTGTTTTCGCACAAAAACCCATTTGTACCCCACTGGCTTGACACCTTCAGGTGTTTGGACTATTGGTCCAAAAACTTCATGTTTAAATCCTTCAGGGATTTTCATAAAAATCTCATTGTCTAGTGAGCCATATAAGTAGGTTGTGACAACGTCCATCAACCTCATATCAAGTTTTTCATGGACTGCCAAATTTATTAAATACCTGAAGGTAATTGCATCTACCACAGGAGAATATGTCTCCATATAATCAATGCCAGGCCTTTGCGAATACCTTTGTGCCACAAGTCGTGCTTTATGCCTTATGATTTCACCTTTTTCATTTTGTTTTCGCACAAAAACCCATTTGTACCCCACTGGCTTGACACCTTCAAGTGTTTGGACTATTGGTCCAAAAACTTCATGTTTTTCGAGTGAAGCCAATTCCACTTGAATTGCATCTTTCCATTTTGGCCAGTCATTTCTCCGTCTACATTCATCGATAGATTTTGGCTCAAGATCCCCATCTTGTTGCATTACTTCAACTGCAACATTATATGCAAAATTGTTGTCAACAATAACGTTATTTCGGTTCCACCTTTTTCCCATAGAGATATAACTTATTGAGATCTCTTCATTTTCATCATTTCCAGGTACTAGAACCTCCTGTGAGGTCTTATCAATTATTATGTCTTTATGCTCCTCTTGAGCAATTGCCTCTATGTTATGATCAACTTGATCATTCGCTCCTTTCCTCTTTCGGGGGTTCTTATCCTTGGAACCGATTGGTCTACCACGTTTAAGGCGTGGCCTAGACTCTTTTTCATTATCATACTATCCAGCTGAGACATCAATTCGAATTGGAGCATTTACAGCTGGAATATGCGATTTAGTAACCCGTGGAAGGTTAGTAAATGCATCTGGCAATTGATTTGCAACATTTTACATATAAATGATCTTTTGAACTTCTCGTTCACATTGATTTGTACGAGGATCCAAATGAGATAAAGATAATATGTTCCAATTTATCCCTTTTTTCACCTGTTTATTTTCTCCCCCTAATGTTGGAAAAACTGATTCATCAAAATGACAATCAACAAATCTGGCTGTAAACAAATCTCCTGTCATAGGCTCCAGATATTTAATAATAGAAGGAGATCCCAACTTTCTTTGGGGGCCCATCTTTGTGCGTTGTGGTGGAGCAATTGGAACATATACCGCACATCCAAAAATTCTTAGATGGGAAATATTTGGCTCCTGACCAAAAACCAACTGTAATGAGGAGACTTCATGATAACTGGTTGGCCTTATGCGCACAAGTGCTGCTACATGCAAAATAGCATGTCCCCACACTGAAAGGGGAAATTTTGTCCTCATTAGTAATGGTCTAGATATTAATTGGAGGCATTTAATCAATGATTCTGCTAGACCATTTTGAGTATGAACATGAGCAACCGGATGCTCAACTTTTATTCCAGTGGCCATACAATAATCAGTAAAGACTTGAGATGTAAATTCACCAGCATTATCAAGACGAATTGTCTTAATTGCATAATCTGGAAATTGTGCTGTTAATCTTATTATTTGGGCCAACAATCTCACAAATGTCATGTTACGAGTTGGCAATAAGCACACATGTGACCATCTTGTAGATGCGTCTATCAAGACTATAAAATACTTGAATGGTCCACATGGAGGGTGTATAGGCCCACATATATCACCCTGTATACGTTCCAGAAATGCAGGGGATTCAATCCCAACTTTAGCTGTTAATGGTTTAATAACCAATTTTCCTTGAGAGCAAGCAACATAGGAGAATTCCTTAAATTGAAGAATCTTCTTGTTCTTCAATGTGTGTCCATTTGAATTCTCTATTATTCTACGCATGTTAGAACTAGGATGACCCAACCGGTCATGCCAAATGATAAAATCACTAGAAGTAGTAAACTTTTTGTTTACTATGGCATGTGGTTCAATCACACCAATGTTTGTGTGGTACAACCCAGAAGAAAATGCGGGTAATTTTTCATGCACATATATTTTACCCGTTTTTATTGTAGTAATATAAAGGTATTCAACCTTTCCTTCGTTTGATGTCTCAACATGGTAGCCATTTTGGCGAATAGCTTTGAAACTCAAGAAGTTTCTTTGAGACTTACTACAATACAATGCATTATCAAGTTAATATCGTTCCTTCAGGTAATAATAAGGCCGCTCTTTCGGAGCCCTCAATCAACTTTGTACTACCGGATATTGTATTAACATAGGCCTTTTTCATAACCAAATAAGAGAAAAATTTCTTTTCTCTTAACATTGTATGAGTTGTAGCACTATCCAAAAGACATAAATCTTCATTACTCATCTTGGATCCAATTGAAGACTGGGGAATTTTAATTTCTTCATAAAAAAAAGAATAAAAGTACATCATGAGAAATACGGAAAACAAACATCTCCAACATAAGACAACATAAGTACTACTTAAAAATAAAAACAACTTTAGATGAGATAAAAACACTAAAAATAACAACGTAATTGCATTCCCCAATAAAATGATCAAACTTTAGTTTTGATCTCCAAAGAAATCTTCAACTTCCAAATGAGTAAGATCATCGAGGCCTTGAAAATCATCATCTTTCAAAGCAAGATCTACCGCGGCATCGTCATCATTTTTGTTTGAAGGCCCTGCCTCAAAATCATTTTTAAAGGTCAAGTGTGACTCCACTGGGGCATTAGCAGAAGATGCTCCAACATTATTTGCCTTTTTTTTTATGGAGTTTTGATAAAGCCTGACAAAATGCTCAGGTGCACGACATTCAATTTTCCAATGACCTTTCATGCCACAGCGGTGGCAGTTACCACTTTTGCCTCTTGAAGGATAGTTTTGAGAACCCATATTGTTCTCTCGTTTTCCATGACCACCACGATGACGACTATCATATCGTCTCTTACCATTGTCATACCCACATTCATTCATATGGCCATGATTATTATTCTGTCTTTTTTCAGACTTATCACGTCTAACTGTCATATTTGCTTCAGGAAGCGGAGCTGACCCTGTGGGACGAGCTTCATGATTTTTCAGTAAAAGGGTGTTATGTTGCTCAGCCACCAGAAGGCATGAGATCAATTCAGAATACTTTTTAAAACCCCTTTCACGGTATTGCTGTTGTAATACCATATTTGAGGCATGGAAAGTTGTAAGAGTTTTTTCCAGCAAATCCTCATCATTCATAACTTCCCCACATAATTTCAATTGGGAAGTTATTTGAAATACAATAGAGTTATACTCACTTACGATTTTAAAATCTTGCAATCGTAAGTGCATCCACTCATATCGAGCCCTTGGCAATACCGTAGCCTTAAGGTGATCATACCTTTCCTTCATGCCAGTCCACAATTCAAGTGGATCTTTCACTGTTAAATATTCAACCTTCATCCAAATGATGACGAAGAAAAATCATGGCCTTCGCCTTGTCCTGGCTTGATGCCTCATTACCCCGAGTAATGGTGTTACCAAGGTCTTTAGCGGCTAAGTGAATCTCAGCATCGAGAACCCATGATAGGTAATTCTTTCTAAAAATGTCAAGTGCCACAAACTCAAGCTTTGACATAGTAAAAACTATCAAAGAAAATAAATGAATTAGAAATGATAGTGAAAATAAATAAATGGATATAAACATTACGAATGTTTAAATTGTGTTGCCATATAAAACATATAGTGATAATGATAACATTAATCTATTTATTAGTACTTATGCAGATTTGAGAATGAAAGGTTACGTATTATATCAAACAACAATTTCTATAAATGAAGGCAAAATATACATAATAATATAGGTTTAAGGTGATGGATTTTAACGCCAATAACTAGCAATTTATCATGTTTGCCACAGTGTCGTGTGATTCATATTGATTCGTAATGATCACTTGTCATGATAACAATTTGACTTAATTCATACAATACAATACCATTAGAATGGCAAGAAGAGAAGAAGAAATGTAGAAGATAACTTGTTATACCTTTTGGATGAAGAATTGCACTTAACTTTTGACAAGGCTAGAGTCGTGCTGATAACGTGTTAAGAATTGTAGCTCAAATATAACAATATAGAACATGGAAAAACAAGTTAAGAGATATAGAGAGAAAGAGAGAAGGAAATACCCGAATTGTATTGATAATGCATTGTATTTTCAAAGTTATTACCCTTAATGGATATTGTATTAAGTACTCAAAATGCATTAAGGGTAATGTCGTTTTGAATACAACTCTTTTGAATACAATGCATTATCAATGAGAGGGACCTTACTATAGAGGGCAACGACTGTGACATGGTTCTCTTCTAATTGAAACAAGTATCCAATGAAGAGGGCGGCCGAGATCTCTAGATTCCCACTAAGTTCTCTTGGAACACTTAGGACATGCAACACAACATATCTTGATGGTTGTTGCCTCATACATAGTCCCTCTATCGGATGTTCCTTCACAATACTTTGTCAGCATACGCCGCCTACACGACTGACATTCGTCCTGGCGCACTGTAGTACGCAGAACTCATGGATGACATGACCCTCAAAATGTGGGGTGTGACATCCTCCCACACTCAATCTGTCATCGTCCCCGATGACACATCAATGCCTACGACAACCCCGAGTCTTCCCCCTCAGGGATGTGCACTGGCTTCCTTAATCCTTGTGGGTCGGACTTCCTCAAAGTCCAGCTCAAAATTTTGGCGGGTAATATTGTATTTTCAGAGTATTGTATTAAGTACAATACAATGCATTAACTTTGTGTGGGTCGCCACAAAGTTAGACACCAGAGGGTGCAAGTGCGGAGGCACTTTCCAAGCGAACACCGATAGGAGGTGCAGTGCAGAAGGCACACTTGGAAGATACTTGGGAGGAGAAGTGCATGGGGTACGACTCCATTTTGAGCTATAATTCTTAACACGTTATCAGCACGACTCTAGCCTTGTCGAAAGTTAAGTGCAATTCTTCATCCGAAAGAAATTAAAATTCCCCAGTCTTCAATTGGATCCAAGATGAGTAATGAAGATTTATGTCTTTGGATAGTGCTACAACTCACACAATATCAAGTACTCCGATGGTTGTTCAATCACTTGATGTGAATAAGGTTCCGTTCCGACCTCAAGAAAAGAATGAAGAGCTTCTTGGTCTTGAAGTACCATATCTTAGTGCAATTGGTGCACTAATATATGGTACTTCAAGACCAAGAAGCTCTTTGTTTTCCAGCTGTCACTTCCTTAGCAAGTACCCAATGTTCCCGGTAGTACCTCTGTACTCGCCCTATAGACAAGAACCCTCTTGGTTCTGCTAGCACGGCTTCCCGGTTCGGTGTGCCTCGCACATGGCCCCATCTCAATGGTCCCCGATCACTTGGCGTACCCCTTTCTAGAACAATACCTTCTAACTTGGAATCCCGCTCAATTCTGGAGCTTCGCTATTTCCTTCGATTTCGTCTCCTCACCTTAGCAATTCAGCACAATGCCTCTCCATCAAATGGCTCAGCTCTTTTTCACAACCTTGGTGGCTGACTCCACCCCATTGTGACACTCATGTACTCCCGCTAAGAAGCCCGACATAGGTCCTTCTTTGCGGTTGTCAAGGGACT